ATAATATAATATAATATAATATAATATAATATAATATAACGTAATACATACCTTGTCGAATAAGTGAAGGGAAGAGAAATGAAAGAAATTTTACATCTCTTATTTCACCCATTTGTTCGCTTCAGAGTTTATTCGGAAAGGAACTGAAAGCTTCAAACTACCCAACCTCCATATTCCCTGAAAAAAAAAAGCTTCGTACCAACAAGCAACAAAAAAAAACTTCTGCTGCGTCTAAAAACAGAAAAAATTGAAAGAAAACTGAAACATTTCACGACCAACCTGATGAAAGATTGACCTAAGCGAAATTTGAAGAATATAAAAGCTTTTTTGAAAACTAATCGAGAGGAACGAACAAAAAAATTAAAATGACAGCAGTAGCAGCATAAAAAAAGAAAAACTAAAATAAAATTTAGTTGTGTAATACGTATGTATTACTTTTCTATTATTTTTGAAAACAATGCTTTAGGGCACGTTTAGCTCCTTAATTTTACTCTTGTTCCGTTCCTTTACAAATCAATAGAGGAGAAAAGTGTAGAATAAAAAATAAGAAGCCCCTGTCCCCCGATATCCACCGAAAACTAACCAAACAACTGAAGAAACAGTCGAGTAAAAGATTACTAAAACCATAGCTGCAAAAAGGATGCTTTCGGGCACATTTGGCTCCTTAATTTTACTCTCGTTCCGTTCCTTTTCCAATCCCAACTGCACCCTTTCCTTCACTACCGGCCATCTACCATTTAAAAAAGTGCTCCACTGTCTCAACAACTAGTTCGGAAGTAACTGCTTTCACTCGGTTCGAGGTAGCCAACGATTGGAGGTTTGGCTGTGTACATCGAGTGATAAATCAGCAGTTTGCCGTGGTTGCTGCTGTTACTGCTGCCAATGTCGCCGTCATCGTTGTTGTTATCGCAGCTGTTAACGCCATTTAAGTGCAAACAGATCAGACAAAAGCAACACTTTGTTGATGTCGAAAAATTAGCTTAAGCAGTCTACTTGCATGGTATATATGATATCTAAAAAGCAACAACACAACCGGTTTCCCAGCTGCCTCGTTTTCCCTCTTCTCAAGCCAGCTCCGAATTGTTTCACATCAGTAAATAAGGTTAGTTTTTAATGTGACCTAAATCACTGCTTATGCCTTGGCACACACTAAGCTGAAACTAAAGTTCTTACGTCGAGTTTTCTTCGATTATTTCGACAGTTATACTTTGATCCACAAGGCTAATACCATCACTGCTGATGACCCTCCGTCATCTTCCAAAGCGGATCGCCTCCACGCACTCGATTCACTAACCGAAAAATTTTCAAACCTCTTCAGTTTTCCAAAAACTTCTGCTTTGAAGTCTTTTTTATCCAAAGAATGAATGGCAGTTTGAGAAAGTAATTTCAATCTACGAGCCAGACAGGACAAAACTGCCTACACAAGTTCTTCATCTGTTTTCAGGGTTCAGACAGAGCCCAGCACTAACATGCATCTGAGCCTTTTCCTTTCCTTTCTCCTCATACAGCATGTTTCCTGTACTGCTGCACCTAAATGTCCTAACTTTTTTAGGTCCAAAATTTAAGTTGACTGTTCGGCACGTTTCAAGAAGCTCTTAATACGTATCAAATTTTAAGTTCTGCCGAACGCAATGCTTGAAGTTTTAAGCCTGTTTGCCCACTCTAATGATTTCTGGATATGTCTCCTTAACCTTACTGATTTCCACCAAACAAATTTACTTTCGTCCGCCCTTATCAAATCTACAAAAAAAAAAAAATAATAATTAAATTATCAAAAGTGGCAGGAAACTGATGATTTCCGCTCTAATCTAGCAAATTTCGACTATCGACAACTAAACCAATTCTGCAACTTTTTTTTCCCCATCTTTATACAATCAATGAAGCAGCCAGCTCCTTGGTATTCTCACTAGTATCATCTCTGAATGAACCTAAATCTCACTCTTCTGTTAACCTGACTTTCCACAGCGGGTCTCACGTTCCGTCCAATGGGGGCAGTCCTCAAACTAACAAAATCACCGCAAGTGGCATAACTTATTGAATTAAAACAATTTGGAAGTTTCTTTTAGTTTCAATTGCATTTCTTCTCCTGACAAGGTTCATACAAAAAGTGAGGTCAGAAATGCAACTGTTGCTTAGCTTTATTGGTAATAACGTATTGTAAAAACTTTCGTGATGTTCTGCTGGAAATAATAAAGTTGGGACTCCTATCTTATTCAAATTAAAATGAAGTCCGTAAGTTTTGGTTTTAGATTCGGAAAAGATTAGAAGACAATGAATAAGACAGAAGAAGTATGTTTCCTGTAATAAGCAGACTATAAAATCATAAATTGCAAAAATAGGAACTGATAAACCGAATTTGGGTTGTCCCACTTATCCAACGGTATTCATATTACACATAAAGCTGTTTAGTAGGCATAAAGAAATTTTCCAAAACTGGTAAATCACCACAATAACTTAACAATAATAACACAGACCTAAACGTTCAATTACACCAACATGATAGACGTCCAGTTGACATGACCTGTCACTGGATTTAGACTCAAATTTTTAAAGCAAATCAAATACAGACAAAAATATCGAGACTGTAAAAACACGCGCATAACCTGCAGAAGAATTGATGATAATTGGCATGACTGGTGAGTGCAGAATTTCTAAACAATATTATGAACATATGAATTTAATCAACATCAGCGAAAACAGATTACATTGGACATAAACAGAACCAGGTATGCATATTTGTTATACGCATTTCCTCTACACATTTCTGCCTGTTAGACTATATCATTACAAAGAAGTTACAGCTTACACAATTTTTAGCCACCAATCTTCATCGTCAGCTTAGCGCTTGATGCTAAAGCCGTTGTTAATGATAATACACCCAGTATGACTCAAAAATAATAGCAAATGTTCCTTGATCATCTAATGAAATTTTAAATTCGTTAATTACAAGCCAATTTATACTTTTACCAATTCTTGTTAAGTGTACTCGTTGCCTTATATGAACAATACAAGTATGCGTTCAAACAGTTATACTAAAATTTAATTTCGGAGGCAAGAGCAAACAAAGTTCTTTGATATTAGTTTTACTCTTTTTTCTCTACATTGTAAATGATCTCTTCAGAGCGTAAACTTGTTCCCCGTTCTTTTTTTCTCGCCTCCTTTGTCTCTTAATTTTTACAGCTTTTACCAACAATCATCCCAACAGTTACTATTACCGAAATATTACTTTCATAGAAGACGTGTAAAGGCCTCCAGATAATGACTGCTTTTTTGAACTGTAGTCAAAGCTACGTAAAATTTGGCCAATTCATTATCAACGAATACCGTATGCATGAAAATTTACATTTCTTCTCGTTGTCATGAAATTTTCGGCAGCAGAAAGAAAGAAAACAGAAAAAAATAGAAAAGAAAAGTTGAGACAATTGTACATATGTAAAAGTTAACTGAATGCCTACATTCTGACTCCCTTTTCAATTCTCTTTCACTTTGTAATGGTGATTGAAAACAAAACGAAAAAAAATTAAAGAAAAGAAATATAGAATTTTGTTAAACATTTCAGATGAATATAATTATCTTCTTTTTAACAAGAGGAAGAGCAACAGTAGCCGTCATTTTCAACATACCCTCATTTGCTACAATCAAAGATCAACGGTTACCCCCAATGTAGTGGAAATCGGCCAGAATAATGGTTGTTGTTGGATGCATAGCGGAGTGTGTTGATCAGAGTACTGATTTTGGGGGACTCAAGTGCTCACTACATAATAGTTCGGAATTTCTTCTTTTTTAAAGAACAATGAAATAATAAAAAAAAGATGCTTTCTTTTTTTCCATTTGAAAGTACCACCAAATAATGATGAAAATGAAAAAAAAAGAACATCGCTGAAGTAGCTAAGACGCAAATTACTGCAAAAAAAAAAATGTCAGTTTATCCGTAGAAAAAAAGCAAAGAAAAAAAAATGTAGAAAAGATAATTCTAAATCGACCAAAAATTTCGATACTGAGGTTCTGGATTACAGGACTATCTTATACGAATTTTCCAAGTAATCTTCATATCTACACAGTGTTTTTTTCGTAATCCTTCAGTTTTCAGGTTCCTTATCTTGAATCTATTTCAATTTTTTGCTAGATTATATTCCAGAGGGATAAAGATGCTGCAAAACGTAACCGAGTAACACCTCGCTTTTTTTCCAGTTTTACCAGCAGCATTTTGTGTACATCCACCCACCAACTGGTAGAAATCTTATTCGTAAATCATTAACGAATAAGGGCGATTTTTCAGAACAACGTATCTTCTCAAAACCAGCAGTTCCACTACTATAACAGTGCCATTCATAGGTCCTTTGAGTGATTCCAAAAAGCAAGAAAAAAGTTTTTTCCCTTACCTACATCTCGTTTATAAAGCTGGATTACGCGGTGTATAATTAAAACTGCATGTGCAGTCCACTTATCGAGGCGTTTCGACGCTTGCAAATAAGCAGCATGAAATTTTTGCAACAATCTACCATTATTCTATCCGAAAAACGGCAGCATTAGCAGCAGCAACAAAGATGGCAACGACAGCGACAACAGAAGCGACAAAGACAACGTTTGCTGTAGCATCACATCAGTAGTAGTAGAACATACAATGGGAGAAACGTAAATTCTTTATGCAATAACATATCTCAGTTGCCCACACTCCTCTGGTAGTCTTTACTCCTCCTTTAAGGATAATAATATCTAGTTCGCTATTAGATGTTATATTTATTAGGTAACTAAGCTCCTACGCAACCATCTTCCTCCCTCTGAAAAAAGAAACTGTCTTTTCTCTCTGGAAAGGATTTATACGGTGATCATGAATCAGTCCCATATCATGAGCTAAGGTTTATATTTGTTTGTGTTTTGCAGTGATGAAGTTAAAACAGCTGACATGGCACAACGGTGACTACTTGGTCGATTTGCAAAGCAGAAATTTGGAGTGCAAAATAGAAATGCGTTTGTGTGTGTTCGTTTGAGCGGAAGTTGAGAGTGAAAAGGACATGAAAATATTTAAAAAAAAAGTGAAAAAACTAGATGGACGAGAAAAACGAGGTAGAAAAGAAGTGGATGAAAAATACAAGGAGGGATAAAATTAGGCGACAGTTAGTTATTATCGATGATTCACAGCAAACTACACATCTCATGAAAATGCCAATTTCAGTCATCAACATTGCTCATTTACGTACTGCTGCCGTTGGCCCGCTGCAGACGTCAATATATACAGCTTGTCAACGAAACAACAAAATATTAAAGGGTAAACAAAACAATGTAATTGTACCGACACACGTTCTTTTCACCAACACTCTCTGAAAATGTTTCTCATCTCCCTATATTTTTTCAATTTTTCAACAGTTATAAATACCCATAACCATCTTATGCGTATACATATAAACAGACATCACAATCGCATACGTATATAGACAATTTCATTTTACTGCTTATTGACGATACACTCCATACACTCTTTCTAATATATATATATATATATA